TTCTTAGTGGTGACTTGCTAGCCAGCTCTGGTGCTTAAATTCTGCTCTTCACTTCTACCTCTCCATGCACTTACTTCCCCCCCACCATGTCTTCCCTTTGTACATCTTTGTTGGTTTATGGCCCCTCATTTCTCCTAACTGTAGGCTTATTTACAGCCCATTTTTATTCCTTTCACTTTTTATCTGTCATTTTCCTTGACTGTATGCTCTCACTGGTTCTTTAGGCTGAGAGATCTAACTTTTCTCTTTCCTGTCTTCTATCATGCATCCACTTTAGGGACCATGACACCAACCTGCTCTGCCATCCCATCGTCTAACCAGACCACAGCTGTCATTGTCCTTCACTCTCCTTATTTGTATCACTTGAACTCACCACTTTCACTGTTATAAAAACAAGTGATCTAAGTGGTTCTTGGATTTTTTTTTTTCCTTTTCCTTCATCTCCTATATCTGATCTGTCATAAAATCATGTAGATTTTTCCTTTCTTGTTTTCACTTCATGTTTACACTCTTCACTCTAATCCAATTGTTTCTTCAGAACTGGACTAGATGGGTGCGGGGAGTATGTGTGTGTGTGTGTGTGTGTGTGTGTGTGTGTGTGTGTCCCAAAACTCAGTAGTCAAGCTGAATAATATCTTCATGCAATAACATCTTTGTGAATTTTAAGATATGAATAATATCTTAAAAATATAAAAATATTTTAAAGAATCAGAGTTAATGCAAAAATCATTAAGAGGAAAAACAAAATAAAACAAACTGAAGTCTGAACGAGCATTACTGATTTATCCCTCTGCTTGGCCCTCCTGTGGCTTGCCAGGGCTCTCCACTCTATCAGCCTTCTCTTCTCCTTTCCTGTCCCTGTCCAACTCATCTTACTCTGCATCATCAGCCGAGTCTTTCTAGAATGTTGATTCACCACGTTACATAAAAAAACCTCCAGTGGTTTTCTGCTAAGGCCAGATTCCTGTCTGGTATTCAGAACTTAACCCTGTACATTTAGCTCTAATTCTTACTATTTACCAACAATTTGAAGCATCTTTGCTCCCCAAGAGCATGCCTCTCCCTCATACTTGTTACCACCAAATAAAACAGTCTTCACCTTTCTCTTACATTCTCTTTGAATCTTACCTAGTCTTTCTTATGTAGTTGTGTGTGTGTGTATTTATTTTTAGGTATGCCATCTTCTTGTTCTTTTGCTCTCTTGGTCCTTCACCAAATGTTCAAGGTCAAATCTCAATCTATTTCACAATTCTTACCTTAGTCTGCTTCCTCCAGGAAGCCTACCTTGCTATTATTCCCCTCCCCTACACATTGGCTTTTAATCTTCTTATACCCCCTCACTGTAACTTCCTGTTTACTTGTGTGTGTACTTTTAAGGTCATGGTTCAGTTTTTGCTCATATTGTATTCTTAGCATCTTACTTAACACTTGACATAGACTAGGTACACCATTCATATTAGTTCCATGAATGTACATTATCACAATTCATCAAGTATCTATTATAGAAAAGTAACTATCATTTTTCTAAAGTAAACTGTTCTTTGAGCCATGTAGAGGAACACACGATCTGAAATCAAACTGATTAGGGTTAGAATTTTATCTCCATTATTTTATCAGTCACATGGCCTTTGGAAGTTTATTTGCCCTCTTAAATCTCAACAGAAAGTTGCTCTTATGTAAATTGGAGATGAAAATACTAATCTTGCAAGAAGTGACCATGTCTGCATGATGCTTAGCATGACAGCTGGCACCCACAGGTGTGTGATGTGTGTTAGTTCCTTTGAACAATCACCTGTGGAATGAACAAGCGAGAAACTGTCAGATGGTTTTCTCAAAACGGTTAAAGAGATTGGGTGTGTTGCTTGCATCTCATCAACTTATATCCATCCACTTGCAACCAAGAAAGGAAGGTACCAAAAAGAAATTAGCTGGGCAGAAACTTTTTTTAGGTGCTGCCCTTTAAAGCAACGAGGTGGGGTCTGTGCTACACAGATTTCTGACCTGCTAGTACTCTGCTTCTCTTCAACTGAGATAGTTTCATAATGACTTGGAACTGGTGATGTGGTTCTCTTGAGTAAAAATGTCATTTTCATACTCTATGCAATAGTTATTAAGTCAGTTCATGAAATGTCTAATAAACAGGCAGCTGTCGCCATAACAGAACCATAAAAGGCTTCTCAGGAGAGTCCACCAACAAAGATGCTCAGGGTTTATAATAGATTTGAACATTATGCCTTCTGATTCATAGAAATGGGGTCCTCTGGCTCCACTGAGGATAATAACAGAGGAAGTATGTCTTAAATACAGAGTTTTATTTATAAAATAAATTGAAGTATTCCTTTTGACAAAGAACTCATTTGTGGGCAGAAAAGGCTCTATTAAAAAAAAAAAAGTCAGCCACATAAAATCAAGCTGATACCATGCAAGGTTGTCACTCAAAAGTTGTAAGTTGCCTTACAATAAACCTACACTGGCATCATCCAGATTGGGGATGATTATTATTTTATACCCCATCTATGGACTCCCTTTCCTCTCTCCTTGGCACATTGGGCTGAGCTCATTTTCCATCAACATCTCTTTACCTATTCCACCTTGCTTTTAGTGGCATTCATATAGCTGGGAAATCCCCAACTTTAAAATCTGAATCCCAGTGCTTCTCAGTTATTCATTACCCTAGCAGAGGCTGTAACAAGCCACCTGTTACCTGCTTACAAGGATTCGACTTGTACTACCTGCTATCCTCTTACAAAGATGCTATTTATACTACTCGCTATCACCTTATAGAAATCCTACTTAATAATATCACTTCCATTTATAAGGACCTTACTTATACAGCCACTGTTATCTTACAAGTTTACCTAAAGCGCAAGTATCTTGCGCTTTAGGTAAACTGTTCAAACAGTGTCTCAAAAGAACACAGATGTGGATAATTTAGGGTACTCCTCATACCATTTAAAATCAAATTTCCTCCCTTGAAGTCCTGTTTCTAAACTCTGATACTTAATGTTGAATTTTGAGAGAGGATCTGAAAGAATAAGAAAAAATGGAGCTAGATATCAAAAGCACATAGCTTGGTTGAAAAAGTGCAGGAAATGTGTTTTAAATTGTTTCAGTTAATAAATGTTGTGAAGGATTTGCTTATTGTTGGGACTTCAAAAGAAGTACTTCATGTAGTATAGTAGCTTTGGGAACTTACAGTATTCAAATAAGATATAAGCAAAATGGTTTGTTGTCAGAATTCAAGTAACATTCACTGAATAAAGTTCATTAGCGCGTTTTTGCTGATGTTCCTAAGTCTCTTGTAACCAAGCATATATACGTGGCAAATCCACCTCTGTTCTGGTTATTCTTTTCTAGCTCTCTAGGCCTCCTGGTAGCAGAAGACCAAATATGTTAGCTTTGATAAGAGACAACTTCAAGGCATCTCCATGGAGCCCCCAGTTGTCACTACATTCTCAGCACCTTAGTGCAGTTGGTAGATGAACAACTCCAAAGCAGACTTCATCCAGGCTGGATTTAAATAGTTTTATGAATATTATGGAAAACAAGACCCAAGTTAATGAGATTCTATGATGAGCACAATTCCTTCTTCTGTGTTTGGGGCTGAGTTTTCCTTTTTCTCTGGTCAATACACCTCTTCAGTTATTTTTACCAAGCTTAAGTGAATGAACCATTGCAAAATGGGAGAAAGTAGGTAATGGGCAATTGCCTCTAACATAATATTGCTGATTTTTTGACACTAAAGGGGAGTGAGGTCATAAGGAGTTCTGTAATCTGAGAATCTGATTGAAGTCAGCAAGCTACTCTTTAGGGATGAAAATACCACCTTAGCTATATTTATTAACACCTTATCATCAATATAGCTTTAATCACATCAAATTCTAGCAGAATTTAGTTTTCTTAATTGGGGATTTTATGGGGGTGGAGAGGCCTTAATAGAGCAGAATACAAATATAAAAGAAAAAAGAGAGTTGAGTCAGTGTAGATTAGACTTCTATTCCAAGGATCTGCTGCTCCTGTTTTTGTGTTGTAACATTTTACCTATTTAACCTATCTTAGGAATGTTAAGAGACTCTTATATTAAGATAATACCAACCTTGTATTGAAGACAAGGTTTCATCTATACTACTTATTACCTGCATTTCATATAGTAAAATTATTAAATGCATTTCATACTTTATTTTGTTTTGTGCATAATTTTCTTATATGTATTATTTCATTCAATCTTCTTACCTTACTATCATACTGTAATTGAATAAACTGAGTATTAGATTAAGGAGAAGGCATAGGTTCCAATTGGTAAGTGGTGGAGCCAGAATTTGAATCTATACACATCTGGCTTCAATGGCTTTGCATTCTTCAAAAAATGGCCTTCTGTATAGCACATTTGTCTGCCTTGGACAATGTTGGGTGGACCATGTGTTTTATGAATTCCATAAAACTGGTAAGAAGATGGCACAAATCTCCAAATATTGAGAGAAATTGACAATTCTTGTCTAGCAACTGAAGTCATTAAAACTTATACTCATTGGCTAAGTGGAAAAGAAGGTGAATTTACAATGTAGATTGTGGTTTTATTATCCCTTGGCCTTTTTCAACTATTAGCTCTATGATATTGAAATATTTTTTCATGCTATTTTCATAGAGTAAGATAACCATAAAAAGAGAAATCCAGGATAGAATTAATTTAATATGTTGCGCATTGTGCCTTGCTATTATCCATGAATCTTTATCTGAAAGTTAGAAAAGATGGTCCTTAAATGCATAAATAAATGGATGGAGATAAATGTATTCATAGTCCAAGTCAGAAATTCTTCTCATTCCCTGTAAATTCTGGAAGATGAAGGGGAAGGGAATCATTAGTTGATTTTGTTCTATTATCAGTATTGGATATTTCTACTTACATGTGATTGGATGATGTGAAATTCATAGTTCCATTGGGGCCCAAACCCTAGAAGTTTTTCTCCTAATACATTTCCCTTTATGTTTCCTGGTTACAGAGGCAGGGACCTATCAACACTTTTGAAGATCCTCGAATGACCTATGGCTACCAGTCCAGTTATCACCAGCAAAGATCTTGCTACCCATTCTGGGATGAGATGGCCACTCAGGAAGTTCCTACTGGTCTTGAACACTGTGGCTCAGGTAGGAACATAAGCACAAGCTGGGAATGAGGCTCAAGTTGAAGGACAAAGGAAATCTAATGAGGGCTGCATTTTCTGGAATAACAGCTGCCATGGCTTAAGCGGGTACAGACGCTATTGTTCTCTCATGGAAAGTCCCAGGCTTCTCAATCGTGTTGGGTTACTTCGTCCAACAGGAAGACTCAACTCTAGGAATGGGCCCAAGAGAGGTTGCTTTAGGTCTCCATTTTGTAAATAGTTTTGCCTAATGTGCATTTCCTGACACCCATTTAGGCCCGGCTGCTGACAAAGAGCTTTGTAATCCTAAAGATAAAGTAGCAGCAACAAAAAAGAATGTAGAAAAATAGAGGTGCATGGATTACTTACAGAACATAATTTCTTTCTTTCTTTCATCATCTCTTTCCATTTTTCTCTTGCTCTATGCCCATGCCTGCTAGTATCCGGCTTCGGCTTGGCTTCTTTTTTCTCTCCCCCTCTTCCCAACACTCTTTCACAGCTGCTCCTCCCTCTCAGCATTCCTTTTCCGTGTTTGGCTTGCTGGTTGTAGTGCTGCCCTCTGGTGAAGAGGAGTCAAGGCTCCAGGGAGCTTTCTGGAATAAATGGGTCTTCTTTACCAACGACCCAAGAAGTCCAAAGATCTTACTTCCATTCTCTTTTCAGGATTCACTCCATTGCTCTCATATTCCATTAGTTTCCATTTACCTCCTAGCAATTTTAAAAAATACAAAATGGGGACTGGGGATGTGGCTCAAGTGGTAGCGCACTCGCCTGGCATGTGTGTGGCCGGATTAGATCCTCAGCACCACCTACAAACAAAGATGTTGTGTCTGCCGAATACTAAAAAATAAAATATTAAAATTCTCTCTCTCTCTCTCTCTCTCTCTCTTTAATAAATAAATAAATAAAATAAAATAAAAAATACAAAATGTAAGATTTGAATTTGGGGATCCTGAAATGATTGATTCAGGTATTGTTCATTATAGTTTGAATTTGGAGTGTCTCCCCAAAGTTCCCATGTTAATGTAGGAATGTTCTGAGTCGCAATGATTGGATTGTAAAAAATGTAATATCATCAGTCCACTCTAGTTTGAAGGGACTGAATGGTAACTCTAGGCAGGTGGGGCGTGGTTGTGGAGATGGGTCACTGAGGTATGCCCTGGAAGGATTTGTCTTCCTAAGACCCTGTCTTCCTTCTCTCTGCTTTCTGATTGCCATGAGGTATATTCTCCCATATCCTTCTGCCTTGGTGTTCTGCCTCACCTAAGGCCTAGGGCGATGAAGCTCTTGGACCATGGACTAAATCTCTGAAGCCAAGAACAAAACAAAACAAAACAAAACAAAACCTTTTCCTTCTCTAAATTGTTCTTGGCAGGTATTTTGGTCACAGCAATTAGCAGCTGACTAATGCAGATACTAAGTTTAATTTTCCCTGAGACCATGTTATGATAATAGACCCAAATCAAAAAGCCAGTCAAAATTTGTGTTTTCTCTCAGGATGAATTCTTAGCACAAGCAATGTTATTACTGTTAAATACTGAAAATACATACTTTTGAGGTGTTACATGAAATGAAGTCATGGGTTGGGGAAGATAATCAAATCAACTTAAGTGCAATTTTGTAGTTATTTTTCAGTATTCTTTCACATCACACATTTTTATGGCAAACTATTTTTATAACAGTAGAAAAAGAAAAAAATGACTGCTCTATTTTTCATAGTTTATCTTCCATCAAAAATAAACAGAGAGATACAGGGCAAGCTGCTGTAGGCCTGGGTAGGATGTGGTGTGTGGAGGAGAGAAACCATTGGAATTGCCTTGCAGTTGTCTGATACTCTCTGGGGCAGAATGAAATCAATCCCTATGTTCCATAGTCAGTTGACTCAATAACCATTGGTCTCTGAGGTACTTTTTTGGCATTGCCCTAGATTCCAGACATAATAACACTTTTTGCTCTCATGTGCTATTGTTATCTTTTTAAAATTTGTTCTAATCAGTTATATATAATGGCAGAATGCTCTTTGATTCATTGTACACAAATGGAGCACAAATTTTCACTTCTCTGGTTGTACACAAAGTAGAGTCACACCATTCGTGCAATCATACCTGAACCTAAGGTAATGATGTCTGTTTCATTCCACCACTTTTCCTACCCCCATACCCCCTCTTCTCCCCTCCTTACCCTTTGCCCAATCCAAAGTTTCTCCACTCATCTCATGCCCCCCCATAATGGATTAGCATCCACTTATCAGATAAAACATTTGGCCCTTGGTTTTGGGGGGATTGGCTTACTTTGCTTTGCATGATATTCTTCAACTCCATCCATTTACCTGCAAATGCCATAATTTTATTCTCTTTTATTGCTGAGTAATATTCCATTGTGTATATATACCACAGTTTCTTTATCCATTCATCTATTGAAGGGCATCTAGGTTGGTTCTACCATTGGGCTTTATGAATTGTGCTGCTATACCCATTGATGTGGCTACATCACTGCAGTATGCTGTTTTTAAGTCCTTTGGGTATAGACCGAGGAGTGGGATAGCTGGGTCAAATGGGGGTTCCATTCCAAGTTTTCTAAGGAATCTCCATACTACTTTCCAGATTGGTTGCATCAATGTGCAGTCCCACCAGCAACGTTTGAGTGTTCCTTTTCCTCCACATCCTCACCAAAACTTTTTGTTGCTTGTATTCTTGATAACTGCCATTCTGACTGGAGTGAGATGAAATCTTAGAGTAGTTTTGACTTGCGTTTTTCTAATTACTAGAGATGTTGAACATTTTTTCACATATTTGTATATATTCATAGTCCCTCCAAGCATGAATACCAATGTCTCATTTACCTACCCATATCGCAACAAAGGCTGGAAAGATTTTCGTACTTGTTCACGGGTTATACTTAAGGTCTTAAAATCTGAGGACATGAAAAAGTGACCCTTTAACCTTTGTAAACAAAATAGATTTTATTTGTATAAGTAAAAGGTCAAAATGGTATATCTGTATAGTTCTTTAATCCTATTAATGCCACAATGCTTAAGTTTTCTATCTCCCAGTGCAACTGAGATTAAAGCTACCTGGCCTTTTGGGAGATGTGGTGGCCCATATCTGTAATCTTAGCTACTCTGGATACTGAGATTGTAAGTTCAAGGTCAACCTGGGCAATTTGGCAAGACCCTGTCTCAAAACAAAATAGGGCTGGAAATGTAGCTCAGAGGTTGAATGCTCCTGGGTTTAATCCCCATATATATCAAAGGGGAAAAAAAGAAAAGAAGGAAAAGAAAGAAAAGCTAAAGCTACCTGACCTTCAACTCTCAGTTCTGAATATTGCTTCTGCTTTTGCTGTTATATCTTACTAATGGCTGAGGCTTCCCACTTGCCCATGGCCTCAAGATAAAAAATGTCCCTCTTCACAGAAAAGAGAATGAGCCTCTTCTTTCTTAACTGAGAACTCCGCAAACTTCCAAGTGGAGATGATTTTCATTCACTTCCTTACCGAGGTTCTCAAAGTTTTTTTTTTTAATTTTTATTATTTTTTTAAGTTTTTATTTCAGAATGAATGAAAGAACGTGAAGTGTATGAAGAATCCCTCAGGATGAAACTGGCTTTTTTTTTTGGGGGGGGGGGGGAATACCAGGGATTGAACTCAGGAACACTCAACCACTGAGCCACTCCCCAACCCTACTTGGCATTTTATTTAGAGACAGGGTCTCACTGAGTTGCTTAGTGCCTCGCTTTTGCTGAGGCTGGTTTTGAACTTGCAATCCTCTGGCCTCAGCCTCCTAAGCCATTGGGAATACAGGCGCCAGGTGAAACTGACTTTAAAATGCTTGTACTTAATAGCAATATAGTGTAATCTTCATTCCATAGTCTATTGGAGATGGAAGCTGGGGTCACTCAGAGTTGTGACTTTGGGGTAGGATGGGAAAAGGAAAGTGTATAGTAACCATTCCTAGAATGATCTGGGCTGCCATCGACTGTAGCTCAGCAATGGTAGAAAACTTGCGTGGGGGGTTTGGCTCCCTTACCAGTTGGTGGCAATCTTTGCAAATCTGGACTGTAGCTCCACTGCCTCAGGCTCCCTCTGATGGAAATGTCTGGCAAGAACCCTGAGTCTTTCCAGCCCCTCTTTTGCCTTTTGAGCTGTCCAGATGAAGGAGCTGCAGGGACTGTTCCTGGGCTGTGGTCCAGCTCGCCTCAGTGATGGGTGTCATTTGGAAGGCAATCAAGGGGTTATAAGGAAGGGAGATGAAGACATGGACCAACCAATGATTTCTCCAGCTGTGGCATATTTCCTTGGAGATGTGTTGAATAAAAAGAAAGGGAGGAAAAAAATACTCTACTTTTTTTTTCTTTTCATTTTCTTTTATCCTATTTATAACTTCAGTTTCCTTCCCGTCCTCCATCTCATGGCTACTTCCCACCCCCGCTCCCCCCTCACGTTTGTGCTCTCAGAAGGGATGAATGAACTTCTTTTCCAAGGATTACACATCTGTCAGTGACTGCAATATGACAGGAGGGGCCATCGAGGAATGATAAGGCCTCCTCTCAGCGGCCTTCATCTGAACATGGTTCCTATTTGTGAAGGGGCAGAGGCTAAAGAGGAAGAGAGGAATGCAGGGAGGGAAGGTGGAGGAGAGAATACGGCTGAGAAAAAACCTGACTGGGGGAAAGCTTTACCAGGTGAGAGGAGAGTAGACTCAGTAAACGAGGCGAGTTGGGAATTGGATGGATAGCTTAAATGGTAAAAGGGGGGCAGAGGAAGAAGGATGAGATGTGTGAAACTGGCCAGAAAATAAAGGCAGGTCTTGGTAAAGAGGTGGAGAATAATGGAAAGAGAAAATGAAAGATGAATGGGAAGGGGAAAAGAAATGGGGAGCTCGGGAAAAGACAAGGCGAGGAGGGGAGGGGGAAATGACATGAAAGAGAAAAATAGATGATTCTGAGGACATTAACTATCCAGCTAAAAAGGGAAGCCGCATTTGCATGCAATTGCCTGTGCAGCTGT